TCTGTCCGACAGTATTGAAAACCACCAAAATGCTAGTAAACCCATGGTCGGGACTTATTTTTGATTAATATGATTAATCATCATAATCTTCTTCCATGACCACTTCTCCTTTCAGGTCGCGGGTGCAGAGGCGTCAGAGAGTGCCTACAACGTTTCTGATCATGAGTCAGAGTCTGAGTTTTGGAAGAAGACAAGTTGAATCTGGAGCAAACTCCTTCCTTACATTTGCACCCAGGTTAATCTTGGCCATTCCCAAGCATTCTGCCGGTCGATTCGACAAGAAACAGCCCAATAGCCTTCATTCACGGAGGCATTCGCAACATATCCATAAACCATCGTAGCTGTGACTTCTCAATCTGAAGGAGCAGCGCCTATACGTACACTAAGGCTCTCGCCGATGTCAGTATTACGGACCACTGGAGACGCATAAGGCCAGCGACTTGACTCAGATAGCCCATTTCAGCTGCCTATACTGGGATCGAAGCATTTCAGTCACAGTCAATGATTCATCACCGAAGATATGCATGGGGATGAAAATCAACACCTAAAGCTTCATCTTTAAACACATGTACTTCTAATTATGGTAAAGGGCTATTCCGTCACGATGGTTCAGGCTAATTCACGTAGAATGCCGCTGGCTACTTCAATTCGCTGGTCGGTCTGTTACTCAAATTTTCCAAGTGAACAAGGCTCCAAAGTACTTGACTTCTTACACCTGCTCCACTGCCTCTCCCTTAACTAGAACAGAGCAACGGGCAGGAGAAAGAGAAAGCACTAGATATCTCCTTTTAGCAGAGTTCACACGCGCGCCGGTCACGTCGTTCTCGGCTGCGAACCATTACAGGGAGTATTATAGATCAGTTTCAGAAGATGCCAACAAAACAAACTCGTCTGCAAATAGCAGCCTTCTCATCTTCACATCTTCCATACCGATATACTTATCACTTTGGCTACTCCTGACTATTCTATCCATGTATAATACAAACAAGAGAAGGGACAGGAGGCAGCCTCAGTCGAGACCAGTGCCAACGTTGAAAGGTTTCGACTTGACACCATTTACTCTGACGCAGTATCTACTACTTGAAGTAGTGTTTGGATGGCCCATAGCAGCTGGTCATCGATCCCATATGTTCGCAAGTATGACCACAGACTGTTGCGTAGGATCAGGACATAGCCTTTCACTAGCTCAACAAAGCACATGTACGCCGGTTTGGCGAACTCCCACGCTTTCTCAACAATTTGGCCACACTGACCTTCTTGTGTCTATAAGTCAGATATTCCGCGGCACCTCTTTTCTAGCACCTTGGGTAGACTTTACCTAGGAGGCTCAGTAACGTAATACCCCGATAATTGGAGCACTCCTTGTGGTCGCCCTACTTGAATTAGGGAACAATAACTCCCATTCTCCAGTCTGCTGGTGTCTTCCCCGTAGTCACTGCAGTCTGACAGACACGTGTAATACAGCACATGCCTTGGATGTCGATCTTATGGGTTTACTAGCATACTGCAAGATCAGGCTTAATATTTCTGTATAAATATGCCAACGGAACATAGCATATTTGCAGGTCTCCGAACAGTCCCTTGTTCGGTCCCGCCTAGTGATGCGGTCTTGCATCCAGGCACCGCAGGTGCTCAAATACCGTGGAGCGGTGACCTGTTTAAATGGGTCCTTAGGCCGTTAGAAGCAAGGAGCCGGTGCTTAAGTTGCTTCAATCCAGCATCAGAAACTAAAAAGGATGAAAACGTTAAAGTTACCGCACGATATATTCATCGAAGGAAAGGTATAAGGACAAAATTATTACTATAATATATTCTCACATGAGTCGCAGCGCTTAAAGAATTCTGCATTTTCTTGTAAATTCTCCTTGCCGGTCCTATCAGTTTAATACTTTATACGCAGCAGTCATACCCATTATTAGCTTTCGATTTGTCTGCTTGTCATTTTCAGCCCACACAGTACTGCAGTCACTATTTATACATTTGACCCCTCCTAAAGGTAATTCAGTTAGAATTACTGTAAGCAGATTCATGTCAGCCTATGCACAACTATGCCAAAAAATTCAATGTACCATGACCTTGTGCTACTCATATGTGTGTGGGTGAAGCGGAGATAGAAAGTGAGCACCGCAAAAAAATTTTTCTCTCCCTTACCTTCGCAAAATATGCTGTGTAAATTAAATGCAGGAAAGAGGCCATGCAGAATAGAATAGCCTTCCATAAAAAGAAATTTAATGATAGTCGATTGTCACCAGTGAGTCTGCTGTAATCATAATCCTGACTGTACTGGCTTAAGCAAAATATCTGCAATTTGTTACATCTGCTATATTCTCAGCTTTGTAGCACTGCGATAAAAGATCAGTTACTTCCTAGCCAAATAAGCATTTCATCTCTGAACGCAGACCTCTCTTTATCAGCAGTTCATATTTGATGCAGGAATTTTACCGCTCATTAACGCACAGAATTTGCGCCATGAAATTCACTGCTTTAAAATTAAAAGTTACAGCTTTAAACTGAAATTTATTCACGCTAAACAAACTGCAACGGAAGAACAGAAACGTTCACTCAAAATGGATAAAACATCTTACTTTTCTTATAACATTGCATTTATTCTCAAATGCTCAAAAAAGAAAAATCTTATTACTTTTGATAGACACAGATCTACAGAAACCGTATGATCTCGACACTTGCCCCCTGATGTGTACAAATTCTTGTGTCCATCAGAAATCATGCGCGCGATTCTTGCAGAGCTTTTCTGATGACCAACAGCACTATACAACTTTGCCGTTTTATATGTACCTAAAGAACGAATTACTTTATGATAGCATATATTCAAATTCAGCACTACCAAAGTCGCGTCCTCCATAGAAGTGCCACACGAAGGACATATCCTTGAAAAAATACTGAACAAAAGGTGATGGAAAGCTTCCAGGAGCCGCAGTCAGATGGTCAGCACGGCTTACAGGAGCCTTGAAATGATCTTCGACAATAATTACCTCCGTATCAGACAAAATACGAACAACTGGCTGTCCAACGTTAGACTAAAACAATAATTACACAGTAAATACCTAAAAAATACTCATTTTTGTCGCCGCAAAAGTACAGTCTACTGCGAAAGAAATTCAATTCACCTGCGAAGCATCAGTACAAATCGTAAGAAACTCTCGTCGAAGGAAGTACGAAAAATTAACATATTTTACTGGAAACTACCTGAAAGTTACTGATTAGTTTATTGTGATATCTGCATATCTCATTTAATAACGGCAGCCGACAAACAACACAACTATTATTATCCTCGAGCAGTAATTGAAATTAGTAGTTGGAACACTATTTTACTAATAGGTTGCAGTGAAAGCCATCGGCTACATTAAATCGTTCTTTAACTGTACTGATGAGAATGAATTTCATATATTCAACACTTTTTCGCTTAATTTATGAAATGACGCTGATCAAATTAACTATATTATACTGTTTTATACAGAAAGTTCTGAGTAGGTCTGATGCAGGTATTTAAAGAGCAGAGTTTGAACTGTTGAAAAAGTCTCCAAATCTTGAAATATATATTCTGCCCACAATACTAACATAAAAAATGCAGATGCATAAAAGTCTTACGATAATGCCCGTTCCCGGAACATCTTCCAACATGACAAAAATGTCATCCTTAGTGCACGATTCTTCCGCTAAACCGGAACGACGCCTCATGGATGATCCGTTGACAGCACCAGTGGTTTGCGGAGTGAACGATCGTTCACTGATGGCGTCATGCAGCATGGTCCTGACCGAATTTTGTTCTTCACAAGTTCGCCGAAAGACAGTTTCCTACAAATGCTTACCAGTAGAAAAACAGAACGCCCTGCGACCTGCCTTCAAACATTCGCATACACTGTCTATAACGATGTGATGACCAGGAGATGTCTGTTTGGCTTCAGATGAAGAAGACTCGCAGAGTTCGGCGACTATCGACTTCAGAGCGCAAAACGAGTCAGCGCAAGTGTAAAGATGCAGCACATCATTTTTAGATGACAGGTCGAGTCTAGGAACTCTTTCATCACTGAACTGATCACATGACTCTTGGTAGGTTAGACGAAACTCGCACAACCCCATGCGCATCAAACACACGAGATCACTTATGGACGGAGTGGCAGCTGAGAGTTGCGGCGACGATGGCGGCAAACGCTCCTCAGCTTCACCCAAAAACATGCTGGAATCTTGAATAATAAAACGCAGACGAAATAAAGACGCTTCCTTCAGAAAGTTTGTCGAAATATCCAGTGATTCAACGAAAACGTAGGCAATATAGTTTGAAAATTTGGACCTAAAAGTCCAATTAAAGAAATCAATCAATGGAAATAAAGAAACAACCGCAAAGCCAAAAACTCAATCAGTTTCAAACAGTCAGATTGTCAGCAGACAAAACAAATGGCTGATATTAACACTACTAAGCGGTACGCCATGTATGCCGCTTGAGCCATACAGCTGTCGAGAGCGGATGTGTTTGGCTAATACTCTACTGAATGTTGCTACGTTATATCCACGAACTGTTTTTGTTGAATGTTATGAAGTAACGAACTACTTAAATGGTACTCCTGCACGTCCCAAAACAAGGGGGAACTGCAACGCTGTCGTAAACTCTGACATAATGACATGTATCATCATTCGCCAAGGCGGTAGTTGGTGCAAACCAAAATGTAAAAGATAAGATCCGCAATTTACATCACTTTACCATACTTGAACTCAAGAGCCACGTTCGAAAAGTTTAGATGCAACTCTGTGACAGTAAGAGGGACGACATAACCAGGAATTGGATATACAGCAGGCGAGAACAGCTGCATCAGCTGACCGATCCATATGCGGAACAGTGACATTTTCTCGTAGCTAAGCATCATATCACGCGTATTGATTGCCACCAGTGACTTCTGAAAACAGTTGAATACATCAGCAATGAATGACGGCACTTACGGCCAACACTTGCCTTCGTTTGGTCCGCTGAATCGATATCCATCTTACAGGATACAGTCAGGCAGTGGCCGCTCTGAGAATGCAGCTGCAGCGATGAAGGTGTCATAGTTGCAATGACCTGCGATTCGCCGGGAATTTTGCTGAACGAGAACTTTTCATTGCTGATGTAGTTGTCGTTATCCTTGCGGATATTATGAGAAAAGTCTGTTAAAAGTTTCAAAATCAGCAGAAAAAGCTCGAAATTAACGGAGCAAAGATCTCATTATAAAATGAACCATTTATGATTTTAAGAAAAACGTCAGAGAAACTTTGATCCAGGGAAAATATAAATGCAAAAGTACCATGAATGGGCCAGTTATCGATTCAAGCTTAGGGCGTCAAAGTATTCTCAAAAACTGAATATAGAAAATATTATGGTTCATACTAATCAAAATAACAGTGCTTTAATATAGTAGCTATTTATGACACCTTCGTTAATAGTACTATCAGTGATTTCAAAAATTCGTTTCGATACAGCAATATGCATTTTATAAATTTCTAATCTACTGAAGCAGTGGTTTTGGGCGTAAGACAAAGGTTGATATCAAAATACCTCAATTTTCTGTCATCGTTTGAGCCTCATTGAAAATATGAAAAGCAGATCTATCTATTGCTTTTTCAGCTTTAACAAGGACAAAAAAACCGACAAAGATGAGAGTTATTAAAGAATCAATGAAATGGCTTTAAATATTCACCCGGGCAAAAGCGACAGTCAGTCGCCTAAGAGCGAAAGACACGCCGACTTTTGCTTAACACATGAACGGTGTCGGGTGATAACTTGAGGATAACAACCGTCTGATGATATGCAAAGAGTTTGCTGCATGACACAATGGACTGGCTGAAGTCATGTAAAGCTGATCTGCTCGTTTTGCAAATTAGACTAGCTGTAACATGCAGGATAATTTAACTTAATGGCGAAAGAACAGGAAGCAAGCTACGGTCTTGAATATCATGAAGACATGCAAACAACTGGCCTATGAAATTCTAAGTGGTTGGATCCAGAGAAAGAGTCGTGAATAAACAGTACAAGACTTAGTGCCTTCGTGTAATGGCAGGTAAACTGGAGCGAACATTTCAAACAGTTCAAAGACATTTAAGCGAGGCAAACTCAACTTTAGTTTGTTACAAAAGTGCAAAAAACAAATGGGTAAAAGCTGTATTAACAAGATCTACTCATAGCACAGGATTTTCATATCAAGAGTAGGAAGAACTCAACATTCAAAAGCAAAAACTGACTTCATGCGGTGTACCGCTGAATTGCAATATTTAGTCATGAGACTAGACCACGAACAGAGGCATAAATTTTTTACCGTGCGTTAGAGGTAAAAGAAACTTGAGATAATGACTACAATGAATCATAATTCATAAATGAGCTTTGGTTAGAAACAAAATGAGCTGAAAGTAGAAGAGTACGATTCAGGGCTTACTGCGGTGCATGATTGAAAGATGATCTGTCGTGAAGTAGACATAATCAGTTGCAGTGGAACGGTGTTTCTCGCGAGTGCCGACGACTATGAACATCTCAGCACTGTCCCCGGTCAGTTCTAAGAAACTGTGCGGCTCCTCGGTATTCTGAAACACGTAGATTAGAACGAAGACAACATTGCATGGAGTCCAGTGCCTCATCAGCCAAGGCTAAGACCGTTTCCATCTCAGCGGATCGAAATAACACAGAACATCTGTAGGCACTCAAGGCATCACAGGCCAGCATTGACGGCGATGCGTTGACGCTGGCAAATTCATCCAGATCGCTGTCTGAAAAAAAACAGGTGCCAATTGAAAATCCTTCAACGGTTCACTGATTCAAAGTTAAACCAGACAGTTTGTAATACTAAATAACATTCAGAAGCACAAAGATTAGCTCAAACAGCGAAGAAACAAATACATGGGACATAAAAATCAGCTTTAACTTAAACTACAGGTATCAAAACCTTATTACAATGCACAGTTAAAGTCTAGGGGCATGCATACAACCATGTTCGCATTATGCAAAACTGCAAACATCACACAGACTTCA